GGGTGGGGGCGGAGGGTGGGGGATTCCTCCCTGCGGTGCACAGTCTGCTGCGACAGTGCACGGACCTCCGGGGCGGTTGAACTAATAAGTGGCTGCTGTAACATGCATTCAGAGCCTCAGCAAGCTGCAATCAGGAACAGGCACTGCTGCTAGGAACCGAGGGGTGATGTCAGGTGTCACCAGCGGTCGCCCTCTGACCCCACCAGCGCCTAGCGGGTTGGGTGGGAGCTGCCCCCGTGCTCAGGGGTCCTGGGCTGGTTCCCCCCTTTTGACACTACTTACCCTGTGCATGCCCTGACCTCACGCCCCTGCAACAGGTTGCAGCGTGCGTCCGCAACCACAGGCAGTCGCTGGTGTTACCAGGATCGATTATGATACGATATCAGGCATGCAATAACCATGAAAGATGCCAAACTGCCGACCATATCACCACAGCCAGTGGTTGCCGTGACTGTTTGAGCAGAGACGCCCCGAATCAGACAGCTCAGCGGCCGCAGTGCGATGCTTGCCATCAGCTTGCAGAAGGAGCAAACCCCCAGCTCAGGAAGCAAAAGGGCGTGCGGATAGTAAGAGACTCGGGCGTTGCGCGAGGCATCAGGCGCGACAGACTGCCCAGCGATGCACACGCAGGCGCCGCAAGCAGTGGGGCAAACCTTCATGGCAAGAGGAGCACAAGTAAGTGGGGTTGAAAGGACCTGCCACCAAGCACGCACGATGCATCAGGATTTTCGGCACCACCCACGGCCCAACAAACGCCGCGCAGAGCCCCGGATGTGAGGCGCGGCGCAGAAAGCGGCCCCCAACGTCGCGGGGCGTGCCGCACCCTCCACCTCTCGCGGCCAGCAGAGGGCGCCGCGAGAGCTCACATGCCAGCGCCAGGCCCGGAGACGGGAACGCACCCGCCCCGCCCCATAAACCAGGGGCGCCGGCAGGCCCGTTTTTCCAAGGAGAGTCGTCTGCGCGCCCTCAGTACCCCACCGCCCGCATCAGCACGTAGCCGACGCTCACGATCAGCCAGTAAACCATGACGGACCCCGGCACCCCGACCTTCAAAAAGTCGACGGTGTCGACGTAGTTGACCCCCGTCGGGTCCTCCAGCGCGACCGCGTTCATGTTTGGGAACCCGCTGACCGGCAGGCCCATGGCCCCGCTGCACATGAGGGCCGCGCCCATGACCAGTAGCTTGTCGTGGTGGCCCGGCATCTGCTGGCCGACGGACTGCACGATGGGCAGGATGACCATGGCGCCGACGGTGTGGGAGATGAAGGTGGTGGCCATGAGGACGAGGGCGCAGAATATGGCCAGGACGCTCCACAGGTCGAGGCCGTCCACCATCGACTGGATGGCCTGGGTGGGGTGGGGGGGAGGAGGCGTCGGGCAGCGGGGTGATTGGGGTGAGGCACGGGTTTGGGGCAGGGGGTTGCAGTGGACAGCGGGGACGGGGGGAGGGGTGGAGTGGTGGGCGGATGGGTTGATGTTAAGGGTGAGGGCGGGGGTGAGAGGGTTGCTTGCCGGTTGGTCGGGTCTGGTATCCGAAAGCAGCCAATCAACGCGTCACCCAGTCCCTTGCCGTGTCACCCGCTCGCCCGCCGGCCCGCCCGCTCGACCCCCCAAGCCCCGCGGCCCCAACCTGTGCAATGGTGAGCAGCAGCCCGCTGGACTTGACGGCCTCCCCCAGGGCCAGGCCCCCCATAGCCAGCATCACCACGTTCCACAGGAAACCGTTGAAGTCGTCCTTCGACAGCACACCGAACCCGAAGAACGCGACTGGCGCACGTCGTGGGTTTGTGAACGAGTGGGTTGTGGACGGTCACATGTTGGCAAGGGCACAGAGGCGGGGCGAGCTTGGAGCGGGCAGGCGTGGCGCCACGCTTCGCCCCAGGAAACACGCGAAAACCAAGCCACTGCGCCGGAGCTCCCCACACCGCGAAGCGCCGCAGCCCCCTCGATAGCAGATGGAGACCCGTGAAATTGGGGGTACACAATTACTAACAGCATCCGGCGCTCACCAAGCGGCAGGATTGCGAGCACGCCCATCTCTCCCGTGATGTGTGACAGCAGGTTATTGCAGCACCACAGGGCCACCGTGGCCAGTGACACCACCACCACGTAGATCTGGGTGGCGCTGAGGGGGTCCTCCGGGGGCTTCAGCGGGCGCACCTGGAGCCAGGGTGGGTGTATAAGCAGGGGAAGGAAGTTGGTTGTATGAGAGGTTGAAACCTTCAAGATTGTTCTAAGGGACCGTTGTGGCACGTGTGCGGCTTTGCGATATGGTTTCAGAACCAGGTTTTCAGAGGGGGGATTGATTGGGGCGCTGTGCGCAACACCAAAGACGGCCTGATTGCCGCGTATGGCCGCGGATGGGCGCGGGGAGAAGGCTTTAGGCGGGCAGTTCAGGCAGACACTCTAGGCGGCTTGCGTGTTGTGAGCGCTCTGGCGTCACAACCGACAGCCAACGCCTTATTGCCCCTGCTTTCGGCCAAGCGGGCCGACATCAGCGGACGTCACGGTGACGTCGGCGCCCCCGCGCAGCGAACCAGCCGCGGGCGACCCCATACGGCACCAGCTGGCCACTCGTCATGTCCGCCCCCACGCACCTCCTTGATTTTGAGCCCCGGCTTGTAGACTATGAGGATGAGCCCCCAGCACAGCACGTTGCCAAAGAACGCCACGGGCAGGGCCACCGCAAACCAGGTGAGCCAGGAGGGGGGGTCCCCGCCGATGGACATGCGCTCAATGGCAAAGATGTTCTGGGGGGACGAGATGGGTGATGTCATGCCGCCTGCAGGGGGTGTGGTGTTAGGGGGGCAGAAGGAGATCGCAAGGTGGAGGAGAACTGATTTGGTTGTGCGCGAGGCTTGATGCGCGCAGGGTTCTTTGAAACGGGGGAAGGTGCGACGGCCGAGCACGTGAAGCGGACTGCTGGTGCGCTTGACGGTTACTTGTTGAGCGCCGACAAGCGCGACAAAGTGCCTGCGGTCTTCAAGCCTGGGGTCGGCGCCGCCTCATGTGACGCACCCAGGTTTGAGGCCAGGGCGATGCCGATGACCAGGGCTTTGGCGAAGGGGTGGGTCGGCGGCAGGGTGCGCAGGATCGGCTGCGACAGGGAGGACGACGCGGAGGGCAGGGATGGTGGTGGAGAGCCCGTTGGTCCGGGTGCGAATGCAGCAGCGGATGGCAGCAGAGAACACGCACCGCCGCACCAACACCAGAGCAAGAGAGCGCCCCGCCCACACAATCGCACGCGCGACCACGGCCGTCATGGATCTCCCTCCCAAACCTGGCCCCCATGCAGAGGGAAGACGGACAGCCAACCTGCACTAAGCTGAAGCACAGCACCGGCGCGGCCACGTTTGAGATCCACATGCTGGCAAACGTCGCCACCAGCATGTTGGCAAGCAGCACGTCCCGGGGGCGGCGCCCGACGCGCGACAGGATGGCGACGGCGAGCTGCTTGGCTATGAAATGCTTCGACAGGGCCGCGGCGATGGCGAAGCCGCCCAGGAGCAGCATGATGACCTGGTCGGGGCGGTGGAGGGTCAAGGTCGGGGGTGTGAGAGGGGCCAGGGGCGCCTGCTGCAATGGCCTAACTGGATGTTGGATCCTCTGTGTTGCGTTTGCATGGGTGTGTTTGCACGTGCGGAGTGGATGTCGGTCGATCGCAAACAAGAGATCGCATTATTTTTTCCAGCCGCGGCAGCGGAGTGGAGACTGAGATGCCGATGTTGCACCGAGGGTGGCGGTGCGCCGCGCGCCCACCTGGCCAAACATGATGTGGAACACTGCGGGGGCGGCCTTCTCCGGGGACAGGCGCTCGGGCGGACTGACAGTCCTGTGTGTGTGAGGGGATGAGGGTGGGGGCATGGCGCGCTGTTGCAGATGGGCGATTGCGTTGAGCGAGCGGTGCGTGGGGATGACACCTGTCAAAAACGCGCATCGGCGGGGCGCTGGGGCGATTTCCGCGGCGCTGCAACTGGGCCGCTCGCCGGTGCGCGGTTGGACGCAGCGCAACTGCTTGGACGGCACGCCATGCCTACCAGTCCCAAAGCCCCCCTCTCACCACCGCTGACCCTCTGTCACGCCGTGACTGGGAAGCATGCCTGCCGACGGTCTGGTCCAGTCCGGGGCGACAAACCCAACAACCTCCCAACAACGGTGCTGGCACACACTCTGACGGGTCACCGCATACAGACAAACACCCTTGCATGTGCACAGCCCCTCACAGACACACACACACACACAGACACACACACACACACACACAAACACACATACG